CTCTTTCAACAGGTCTTTAATGAGAGGACCGTAGTATTAATTTCTAATATGATAAATTAATGCTTATAAAGAAAAGATTTAAAGGGATTCAGAAGGTATTGATTCATTTGAAAACGCGTCGTTCAAAATCCAGGTATTTACTGGAGCCTAGCTTAATCCACACCGATCCTCTGGGGAAACGATTTTTTTATTTTCCAATAAAGTTGATAATTAATTATTGGAAGAAAATCAAGGTTAAGAAAAATATAAACTATAATCTTTATAGTCTTTCATTTTAGCTTGATTCTTGCTGTTTGTCAATCGCTCAGATCCTATTGAATCTTTGCTTAATTCCCTTTCAAGTAATTTCCGCAGCAGTAAGGCTAAGGCTAAGGCGTCTATTTAAGGAAACAGTGGTCCGTAAGTTCCAAGTTTATCTCTAGCAAAATTTACCTTATTATAGTTATTAAGTGATAAATTTTTATAAATTATTTTATCAATGAAATTTTTTACTATGAAGCGAATTAAGCCATTATTTATTTAGTAAGTGAAATTTAAATAAGTGATCAAATATACCGTTAAACTAGCAAAATAAAATTAATAAGGAATGAATCTTTAGTACAAAAAATTTCAGAAAAAAAAATATTTTGATCTCTTAAAAGATATTCTTAACTTATGCAAAATTATCATTTTTGATAAATTTTTATCTCTTTCCTCTCTGATATCAATCAAACAACAACAACGATCAGTGAAGCAAAAATATGTCTGTTTAATTTTTTTATTCGAAAATGTTTATCACGATTTTTAGTGAAAAAATCAAATTTATCATTTAACATTTGATTTTTTCGAAATTTTCCATCATACAGCAAACATCAAATAAATATATTTTATTGCATTGTTTAAAAAAATTTCTTATTAAATTGTTGAAATTAGTTGATTTGCTGAATTTTTAGAACAAAATTGTACCATCTTGTTTCTTAATGATACTATTAAAATGGCTAAATAAAATGAGTCTTTGTGAAATATTATATAATCATCGCTTAACTTAAAATATTCGCATTTACAATCGACCAATCGAATTTAGGGGTTTCTTTCGTCAATTCTACCAGATTGATTCCAACTTTAAACGGGATTTATATCATTATGAAGGAAAAACTCTGAAGATTATTCATATAGGAAAATTCTGCATATCAGAAATGCATTACAGATTACCTTCAAATGCAAATTTTTCAGTGGTACTTGTCAGGTGGAACTCGCGAATCTTATCACTCAAATCAGTAATCTGTGTCCCATTTACTGCTCTAAAGTTTAATGTTCTAGTAAAAAATAAATGCAACTCGGTTACAGTATGGCTAATAAAACGCAAATAGCCATCTATTCATCTTCAAAGCGAATCTACGACTCGATTTTGGGCGAAAAAAAATATATAAAATTTCAAGCGCAAATTCATATTTGCCTATTATATGAAAATTTCGATGGCCTGAGGGAAAGATGAAAAACTTTCTTATACATCTTCGCACTTGAAATATTGCATTTTTTTTTAAATGAGATTGATTTTATTAAATGTAACTGAATTTTGGCACGGAAATTGTTGTCTAAAGAAATTAAAGAAACAGATTTTTTTATAAAAAATTGTCTATAGAAATTAAAGAAACAGATTAAAAAAGAAGCCAATTTTTAATTTTTGCAAAATCGAATCAGTTGAAGAACGATGGTTTAACGGTGATATGATAAGAAAACTAGTTCGGCTGTTTTATAACGCTAATGTTCGGTCGGAAGTCCCTTCTTCTTCTTCTTCACTTTAAGCGTTTGTTCATTCATCAGCTTTAGAAAATATTATTTTTTCAATTTTCATTTATTTTTTTTATCTTCTCAAAATAAATTTATTAGGAAAAAAAACAAAGTTATAGAAAAATTTCAACCGATTTTCTATGATATTACAAAAATTACCGATTTTCTACGAACCACGAAAATTGTTTTCTAGAAGAAAAAACAATTGACCAACTCGCTAAAAATTTCTTCCACACAAAAAATTATATACATATTGGCTTTGTAAAATGTGAATATAAGACTTTATTTTAAAATGGTACTTATCAAATAGTATACTGAATTAACTGAATAACTGAATAAACATAGGTGCATTTCTTGTTTTCTATAACTAAAATAATAAAATCCAATAAATTGCCCGAGGCTCTCTCTTCTCTTAAAGTGGCTGCTTAATCAAAATCAAATCGAATATCTTTTAATTAAAAATATATTCTAAAATATTAATTTATTCATTAAATTAAATGAGAAAATTTAGCATTGCTAAGAGATTTTTGTTGTTATGCAGAAATAATTAAAATTCACCATCGATTCACACCAAAAGTCACCATTAAACGCTTCAATTCACCGGAAAAAATTTTCATTATTTTTTTTTTAAAATTTTCCACTTGAAAAACCAATTTTGCAATGCAATGAAATTTTTTCTGGAAAAGATTAAGCTATTTAATATTGCATTTAATAATTTTTAATAATTTTAATAATAATTTTTTTAATAATTTTGAAATGCAAAATATATTTTTATATAAAAATACAACAATATTTATAATCTAATCTTTTACGTAAATAAAGGGTTTTTTTATTTTTTTTTTTTAACAGCGCTCACCATATCTGATTGGAACCTTTGCACCGCTGGTTTTTTGGACCAGGCAAATTTCGCTAGAATGCCATTTGCCAATAAAAGCATAGTTGAGCATCACCGAAAGAATCAGCAGGTTTCTGAAATAGGTTTATTCGTGCCGAGAATACAATCCCCTTCATTGATATACCTCAACTAGAGTACCCTTGATCGCCAGCCAAATGACTATTTATAAAGCTGCAACTACCAAAAATTGACGAAAAAAATTTCTAAAATTCTAAACTTTCAATTAAAAAGCCTCAAATTTCCGAAACCCTGCTGAAATCTAATATGTCATCTTGCAAAAATATTGTAGATACGATAAATAACTTTAAGACTAACTAGTCTGGTCTGCTACTTAGAACAGCGTGCACTCCTCTCTATTTTGCAGCTCGAACTGATTTTTATAAAATATTGTTATTTTTTTTTTAAATTGATTTTCGTTTATTTATTCTAAAAAAAAAGCAAGAAATCAATATTTTTGTAAATTTATATTTTCATTATTTGTTTTACATTTGATTAAAATAGATAAATGAATTAAAGAACTGAAATAAATTGATTTGAATTTGATTTAATAATTATTCAATATTTTACAAAATGTCGTTATTATTGTAAAATTTATTCTTATAATTATTAATATTAAAACAATATTGATTTTTATTTTTAAATAATTATTATTTATTATTTAATATTAAAGTTATCTATTAGAATTTAAAATTATTAAACTTTTAAGATATTTTAAAATAAAATTACTTTAATTATTAATAAAATTATTTTAATTAATTTTTTTTTTAAGAGCTCTCATTTTACTGGTTAGACCCACTTCGCTGCTTATCGCACTAGGCAAAAATCGCTCGACGATAGAGCGAATATAGGCGAGTCGCCAGCATCATCCGGATTTTTGGACAGGTTTAGTCGTGCAGGGAGTGGAACCTCAGCATCGGTGCTTCGAAATGATCAATAATCCACTGAGCCATTCCATATCCTATTTTAATTAAAATTTAACGAGATGAATAATTGTAATTGTAATTGTAATAATAATTGTAAAAAATTGCGATATATTTTGGCGATTAGAGCTATGATTTTTACACTATTTTGATTGGAACTTTGGTTAGTTGGAACTTTTTTCTGGCTAAGGAGTAAAATAAGTTTGATAATTGCGGCCATTTTCGTTATTATTATCGTAATCACGAAATCTCCATTATTTTCCTTTTTGTGGTTCTGGTTGTACTTCATTAGCATCTCTGATTGTTGTCACGTTTCCCATTAGGATTTTACAGTTTATAGGTGTCTATGGTTACAGCAGCGGCAAAATTGAGGAAGCCTTGAAACGAAATAGCAGACGATTTGAAGAGACGTAAAAGGGCTCAAAGGACTGCAATTGATTGGAATTTGGGATTTTTTCTTGGCTAAAGATTAAAAATAAGTCTGATAATTGTGATAATTGATAATTGTGGCCAAATATATGAGCAGAGACATTTTTAAACTGAAAATCGAAATCCTACCGATTCGTATCATTCTAAAAATTCGTTCAAACCATTTTATATTGCATTCCTATCACTAAGCTTATTGAGTACCATTGTCTTTCTTTCTGGTTCTCTCAGTAATATTAATTCTCTCCTCTCCATCTGTTACGCTGAGGGAGGATACAAGCTGATATATTTATGGTTGCAATTTAAAATCTCAGTTCATTATAATTTATATAAGATTACATTCCGATAAATTAAGAATGAAATAGAATTATCTTTTTGAAAGAGAATGAAATGCAAAAAAAGTAAATATTTTCATGGAGTCCAGTTGGATTTTAAAAGGATTGGGGACCTATTGGGGTTTACGATGGTTTTAAGAAACCGTAGCAAAATTCCTTAATGGAGAGGGTTATGAAATGTTTTTCTTCAAAAATATACAAGTACATTTGAATTCTATTGCACTATATTGGTATTGAAATCGCTTATTATCTCTTATTATCTTATCACTCATACACTATTCTCCAGTTACCCTTGTATTCCATTAGTACCACTAATTCCTCTCATATTCTATTAAGTTTCCATTCTTTTGAAATTCGCTGGCCTGGCCTGTTGAATAAAGAATACAGAAGCTGTAATATTGCAGTTTACGCGTAATTACAAGCGACAACACAAAAAGATGAATTAGTAGAAGGAAATAAAGGAAATGCCATTTCTTGGAAATTTAGCGTTTTCCTCAAATTTTATTTTCCTTTTTTTAATCTATTTTTTTAATTTATTTTTTTAAATTTATTTTTGTTTTTTAGTAAAATTTTTTTAAATATAATTTTTTTTAGAGAAAATTTTTCATCTCTTAGAATAAATTAGAAAATTTGAATCGATGTTAACGAACAATTATGAAATATCAACGATTTAAGATACATTTAACAACAGTTGGAATTATCGCTGGCATTGTTGTTTCTACTTATGGTTTCTTTTTTTTTTTTTTTAATCTTTCAATTATCGATAAAGAATTGAAAATTTGCCAGTTTTTCCGGGATAGTGAAATGATTTAGCACAGAATTTCAGAAATGTGGTAAATTTAAAATTAGTTAAAGCACAAAGCGCAAATTTCTAAAATTAATTAAGTGAAAAACTATCAAAATTTTATGAAATATTATTTAATGAAAAATTATATAATAATGGTTTAAAAAAAAAGAATTATAGAATATAATGAAACAAAAAAAAAGAATTTAATTTTTTGAAAGGAAATATTTCTGGAATTTTTCTTTTTAGGTGTTTCACGTCTTGCGTTAAAGATAAAAGAATACTCGAACGAAGATTCACGATTCGCTGAACAAGAAATACAAGACTGGATATATCTAAAAGAAATTGCTGCTGCAAACCAACGACAATCACAAAAATAGTAAAATCCCTTTTTTGATTATATTTTATTATTTTATATGCTCAAATTTTAATTGATGTTTTTTAAGCTATTCGTTTTTTTTTCCTTTTTCATCGTTCAAAATTAAATATTTTTCATGAAAATTAAGAAAAAGCTGTTGCTGTTAAAAATATCTGCAAATCTACTAACACGAAGGCATGTTTCGTCTTTTCGCTACGAAGAATCTTTCAACATGAATAAATTGAAACTGCTATTGAAGAGGGAATTGATGGGTAGTTATTATCCTGCGTTTATAATTGTCAATATTAAATAATTTATTGTTAGGTAATTAGGTAATTCCGCAATAAAATTCGATTTCAGTGACAATAAATTTTGGGTAATTATAGGTGTATTTTAGATCCAAAAAGAAAAATAAAAAATTAGCAAAAGTATATTTATTTTAAAGAACAAATTGTTCATAATATATAGTATATACAATTAATTTTGGAAAAAATATTTGGTATACAAAAGGCGCTCTAGTTAATATATTGAGAAATATTATACTTATATACTTAGATAATTGAATGTAACAACTTTGTACAGTTATTAGTAAAACAGAAAGTAAGAATCTAAAATTTTAGTAAAATCTAAATATTTGAAAAAAAAAATGCAAAACGACTGACTGAATATGAGAGTGATATGCGGTATATTCTCGTGTTATACGATCTTTTACCCAAATTCACCTATATATAATACAACAATGTCGAGAAATCCTCAAGCTTTTTTATGTAATGAACTTAATGGGAAAATTGTTGATAAAAGTTGATTAAACTCACCTTCAGAATGCTTTTAAAATAAAATTGTTTTAATTGTTCTACCATTAATTGTTAGGTTAATGCTAATACTATACCCGAAAATAAATCTTTCCACCATATATAAATATCATTAGACCAAATATTCAATGTCTCTTGGCTGCGTCAGTCTAGATTCGTCGCCATCCCATATAACATCCCATCAGTTAGCTTAGATAAGAGTATTCTAATGTAAATCTAAGGCTTTTCTTGATATTTTCTATTCTCACTGGCTGTCAGCCGGATAAATGTGAATTTTCTTTTTGATAATGATTTCGCGGTGATTCCAGACTGAAAAAGACTAGTTGAGGATATACGAAGTATTTTGTTTTACATTGCAAAAATTGAATTTCACTGAATCCTGGCCATCATCCTAGCGTCTGTTGTAAACACCATTAGCTATCAACAAAATATCAGCAAAAAATTAAATCATCAAAATATGATACTTCTTGTATACCTCTTAAATAGGTGCAATCGGTGCCATACTCCATTTTATAGCACAATTGAACACTTATAGAAGAAAGAACGCAGCCTTGATCTACACCAGTTAATAACAGATGCACGTATTAATAAGCCTCTGGGAGTACTGGGAGTGCTCGAATGCAATAATGAAGTGAAATTCTAATATCCTACTGGGATGTTCAGCTAACAGTCCATTAAGGATTACTTGCTCTCTAGTCTATATCCAGTTTAATTATAATATTTTTCCTACTCTCTTGTACTGCCACAAGTCAATAGAGGAAAGAGGAAAGAAAAGTTTCCCTGAGATATCTAGTAAATTCCTAGGCAATTGCCACGGTACGTCCTATCACAAAAAATTACGACGGAAACATACCTCGATATAAAACAAACATACACAGTCTTTACTGGTGACGAATTATAGTAATGTAACCTAAATCAATAAGTGAAATTTAATTTCGATTAAATAAAAGGATCCGAGTGCCTCTACTAACAACGTTAGACTATTGAGGTGCATGTTAATGGAATAATAATTAAGACTATGATACAAAATTACATACATCTATTATATATGAGATCACTGCTATGATCGCGAATCACATGCAATTCGAAATCAACCATATGACGAAAGATGCAGTCGCATTTGGTACATTTTGGTAGGTCGTTTGTATTAATATCTAAGCAAGCAGAAATAAATTTTTCACGGATGGATGCAGGCGAACAACTACAATAAAATTAACATAACATCATAAAATAACGATAAGCTGAAATTCTTTATCGAAATATTTCCTTCAGGAAGCAAAAAAAAAACCAGATATTTTAATGAATTAAATAAGAATTAAATTTCGATTTTTTGAAATAAATAACTTTAAATATGGGCCTTACTTTTGTTCTTCATATTGCACCGCAGTAGATTCATTCGCTGATACCTCATTAGGCCCATCCATCACAATTTCTATTCGTTGATCTGATATATTCATCGCAGAGGAATTGTTATTAATGAAATCTTCATCTTGCTAAAGAAAAAATCGATAAAAGACTTCTAAGAATTTAAAAATTATTATAAAATTAATTTTTAAAAACGCAAAGAATATAAAATATTTATAATATTTAAATATTTATATTTACAAAAATATTTTCTTGTCATTACGATATTATAATTACTAATAAATGAAGCAATATATCTGGAAAGATTTATTAATGCGCAAACAAAAAATAAAAGTATATAATAACATATATTCACAAATATGTTCGCTAAAAAAAAAAAAATACCTCTTCAATAAATTCTTTTAAAATATCGGATTCTGCCTGAAATTTTGTCATTAACGATGAAAGTAATTCTTCGAGCTTTTCCGATGAAAAACCATTAGCGTGTCGATGTATTATATGAAGGCGAAAACTTTTTTTATTAGTCACCATAAACGAACATAGTGGACAATGCGGTTTTTCTGCAAAAACTCGGAAAATGAAGGTAATAAATGGAAAAACAAGAAGGAAAGGTTAAAGATTAAAGATTCTAATCTATAAAAAGTTATTCTATTTCTAAAAAATTTTTAAAATTGACTAATTTAACTTAAATAAAGCAAATATTCAACAGTCAATAGCAAAAATAACTATTAAAATTAAAATAAAATAATTATTGAAATAAAAAATATCAAGTTCAATGATATTTAATGAAAAATTATCAACTATTGCATGTTTGTGTGGACCAAAATTTCTCCCATATTTTGTCAAATATCGTTTTATAATGAGAAATAATATGCTGATCTCGAAGATGATGTGAACGAAAAGTTGATGAGCATTTTTGACATTTGAAATATTGCTTCACACATGACTTTTTATGACGAACCAAGTGTGACTTTAATTCCGGGAAACCTAAAGCATAATCAAAATCGAAAATTCATATAAAAGATACGCAAAGATAAGACTTTTATCATAAGTGCGATCAAAATCATATGGGAAAGAAACCGAAAACTTACGCGCAAATGAACGATAGCAATGTGGACATTCATATAAGGCATTCGATCCTTCCTTGTCTTTATAATGAGATGGTTCATGCTCCACTAGATTATAAAAATATTTCATACAAATATGACACACATTTGTCCGCCATAATGAATGTGATGTTGCTTTACAGTGCGAACAAAGGACAAGTGTTTTTCCATGCTAAATGGAAAATAATTCACAACAATCAGTTTACCTCAAATGAGAATAAATGGTTAAAAAAAAGTAAAAAAAAGGGGATTAATGGAATTAAAAGAGGATCAAATTAATTAAATGGAAATTTCAGCGAATTTTCTCCATGCTACAAAATCAAAATTATAAATGTAATCCTCTTAATAACAAACAAACTCTAAATTTATTATCTTTTAAATAGAAAAGCTTTAAAAGCTTCTTAAGCTTTGTTTGACGTAATTACTTCAAAAAAGTTATCTATAAGTGTAAAAAAAAAAAGAAAAAATAACTTCGACAGCAATGTGCGAATGAAGCTGCGTATGCTTGTTATAAATTTGAGAACAATTTGTGCATTCAAATCGTTTATTCCTCAGCTTAATTTTCATTTTTTCTTCCACTAAAATTGCGTAATAACTTAAGGTGATTTTCCATATTTATATAAATACTGATAGTACCATTTGCCACCTGCTACCTGCTTTTTTATTTTTTGTCGTTTCTTCATTCTTCAATTTTTTTCAGCCACCAACGTAATGGATTTCTTTGTTATTATTTTCTTATTTAACCCAAGAAAATTATTAAAAACAGTTATTGGAAAATGAATAAAATATAAATAAAAAATATAAAGTAATTTAAATATTAAATATTTAAATATTACAATAAATATGAACTGTTATAAAAATAGTTTTAAAAAAACAAACAGTAATAATAAATAATAAAATTGTAAAAGTAATAATAAAATTGCATTAATTATACTGTTTTTATTAAGATTAAATATGATAAGGCAATGGTTTCTATTATATCACAGCATCTTTCACTGACGATTAGGGCACCTTACAACAATGCAAAAAATAGTAATGCAAATAAATAAAAAGTAAAAATTTCGAAAAAAATAACCTTCTTTTTTGATCGTTTTATCAATGAATTTGTTGGGATTATTTTCAAGCGTTCGTAATGTCTCAAAGACTGCAGCAAAAATTTCGTCATACTTGGTACGATCATCGACTAATGAATGCAATTTGCCATCATTATCAATATTATTATTGTTTTTAATATTATTCGTTAGCTCTGTCATTATTTCATTTGCTCAAAAGTTTTATTCGATAATCAATCGCATGATTTCGATGAAATAACTGAAAAGTACAAAATTAAAAATTCCCATGCAAGCGATAAATTTATCTACCTATAAAACAATGTATAATAATATTTCCTTGAAAAAAATTTTTCTAATGAAATTGGCATGTATTTGATATATAAGAGTATTTCTTCCATTTCATCATCCTAAACCAAAGTTAAGAAATAAGCTTTTTTCTAAGAGCGCTTATCACTTCTGGTTAGAGTCACCACACTGGCTTGTTGAACTCGACAAATTTTGCCAGGAAACCCCTTAACGATAGAAGTACAGATGAGTCGCCATTATCACCGTAGTTTTTCAAAGATTTACCCAATTTTCTCTTATAACAAGTTTCCCGGCAAAAGTAAAAATAGGAGCGACAATTAAATTTTACCGCTTATTAAGAAAATGAAAATAAAATTAAAAATTAAAATTAAAATGATTTAAAAAATTTGGTATAATTTGGCAATTTCATGGAAATATTTCAAAAAAATACGAAAAAATAATTAGAAATGGTGGGAAAAAATAAAAAATAAATATGAAAATAAAAAAATAAGTGGAAAAAACTTTAGAGAATTCATAAATTCAAAAAAAAGGCGAAAAACAAATAAAATACCGCGAATTTTATTTCATTGCTCATTTCTCCTTCCTTTCGTATTTTTGTTTTCCTTTTCTTTCTCCTTTTTTTCTCCTTTCAAGTGCACCGAAAAAAACAGATCAATTTTGGAGCGCGAAAATCCACCAACACCACAGGCGACTGAATCGATCCGAAGATAATTTACAATGTTTAGAACAAGGATCGCTCTGGCAAAGATCCAAGAGATTCTAACTCGTTCTAAGACTCGCTATATCTCTATCTTTTTATTACAGCGAAAAACCTCCACATTTTCCGAGAGGCTCTGGTCAAGAGTAGTGCTCAAGCACTTCGCTGGCTTATTGGCCTTGACAAATTTTGTCATAGAGTTAGATGAGGTAGGGAAGGCAATTCGGATTTGTTCTGCATTTTTGAAATTATTCCTGCCTGGGTTTGAACCCCACTCTGGGCGACCAGAAACGAGAACAAAAACGTGAGCGGCTATTCGACCCTGGCCGTTAAACCCTAAAGATGATACCATATTGAGTTTATTTCGAGGAACTGTGTTGAGATTTCCCTCTTTTGCTTCTTTATGATCTTTTTGACCTTTGTCGGACCTTTCTGACCTTTCTTTGCTAAGGGAATTGACCTTTATCTAATAGGCAATTGAATTAAGCTTTGCTCATCTCCTTGGTATTTTCTAAAAAAAATTGTTTTTTTTAGATCTCAAAAATTAAAATTCATTTCAAAGGAAAGAAAAAAAAAAGTGAATATAAACAATGAAACGGAATGAACGATATTTTTTATTATAGCAAAAAAATTTATTTATTTTTTATTTTTTCGTAAAGAATTTATCGATGTTTCAATTGATTGATTAAATTTCATTTTTTTAAAGGGCAAAAAAAATCAAAAAAAAATTTAAATAAAATTCTTATTTTTCGTTATTTTAATTATTTTTGTTATTTTTAATATTTAATTATTTTTTATAGGAGCGCTGATTGTTTTTGATTCGGTAATCTACTCATTTCGCTGGCTTATCAGATCAAACAAATTTTGTCACAAAAGTAGAAACGAATGTCGATAGAAATATGGCTGAATTATCAGTGAATCGGATTTTGGAAAGACGGGTTTACCACTGCCGGAAGCGGAACTCCGGCGTTCAGAAATGAGGCCAATAACACGCTGAGCCATTCTGCGTTTTGTTAAATTCCAAATTTTAATTGGCTTAGGACAAAATAAACAAATTAAATAAATTAGTAAAATAACTAACAATGTTGTCTTTCTTCTTCTTTTCTTTAATTTTAATAAATCTAAAGAAAATCAGAATTATTTATTTTTAAATAAAAATTTAAAAAAATATTTTAGAAATAAATAAATTAATAAATGATTATAGTGATGAGTTATAATATAAAAGTACCATTTTTCCTGTTTCATACAACTTTAATAATTTATAATTTCGAAAAATTCAATAAAAATGCATTGTTTTAATAAAAGAATAATGGAAAATGCAATTTATTGCAGGAAAGTTGATGATAATTCATTTATCAAAAAAATGTTAAATAAAAAAAATTTTTTATTGGCGAAAAAAAAACGCGAAAAACTACCCAAAATTTCTAAATGTTGCAAAACGAAAGAAATAAATTTTTTAATTTTTTGTTTTTCAATTCATTTAATTCATTTTTATATTATTTTAATAATAAATAATATAAATAAAATTATTTTCTAGTTGCATTCAAAATTTTGGGTAGAGAACCAATCGAAATGTCGATTAATACGGTGAGGAGAGAACGTGTTGCCGGCCCAGCGATAGATAAGCTTAAGGCGTGAAAAAACCATTGGCTTCTGTTATTCTCATCTAGGACATCGGATCAAACAGCTTGAAAACGCCTTACTTTACTCTTGTTGCCAGTAATGGTGGGAGCTGCTAGAAGAAATATAGTATTTATCATTGCTCTGGTTTGGTTCGCTTCCTTACTTATCTCTAGGATAAGGCTGAATTGACTTGGAAATGCGTAGATTTCCACCAACATAAGCATCATTCTACCTCTAATAGCTCGAACATTGCCTAAGCAATGTAGCAAATCTTTTACTATTTGGACGAAAATTCAACGATATTGCAATTAATATTAAAATATAAAATATACATTTTTAGCTTAATATTATTAACTAAAATTTGCGGAATTTAAATGAAGAAAAGTTAAGTTTCGAATGGAAAAAAGGCTCGATAATTTTAGATTTAAAATAGAAAAAGCGTGGAGATTTTAAAATTAGAATGGAAAAAAGCCCAGTGATTTCAAAATGGCAATGAAAAAAAGTCTTAGCAATTGTAAAAATGGAATGGAAAAAAGGCCGAACGATTTTTAAAATGGGATAAAAGAAAGAGCCTTGGCGATTTTCAGTTTTTTTTTTAGAATTTTTATGTAAAAACCATTTTGAATAACTGTTCGAAACAATATCTAATTTTCATATTCCATTAAAAGATTTTTTGAATCGAATCAAAAATTAAAAATTTTTGCTAATTTTGTTGATCATTCGTATAACTGCCATTAATGTTATTTTTAATCGGACTCGTTATATTTATTGCCGCTAGGATAAGGAAGTTTTATTAAGGGGTCACCTGGCTATTAGGTGGTGGTAGAAGTTCGTGGATCTCAAGCATTATCCGGATTTTATAGTGCTAGGTTCACTATTGACGAAAGTGAGGCTCGAATCAAAACGCATCAAGACAATTATATGAGCAATAACTAACCATTCGGTTATCTTGTCACGATAACTTATTGGCAGCTTTCGAAAAATTATGAAATACTGGTAGATCTCCAGCAGCCATCCTAGATTCTCATTTTTAATCATAGGTGTTATCTTATCAAAAGACGGGAAACTGAACTTAACGTGTTCATAGGCTTTTTGTGATATCGATGTAGGCAGAGCCTTTTCATTTTTTTTACAAAAAAAGTTCCACTTTTTTTAAAAAAAGTTTAGAATAGGAGATAATGTCAACGTGCAATCTCGGTTTGTAATTTAATCATTTTTAAAATAATTGATAAAAATTCTGAATAAAATTTGTCCCTTCTAATTTAAATTCAACAATGATTATTCAATTTTTTAATTTCTTATCATTTTTTTAAAATGTGAATTTGCCTATAATTTTTATATGATTTATCGTGTCCACTTGTATATTCCATGATGAAACGTTTCTCTAACTTTTTTAGTTGCATGGAATTTTTTTTTTTTTAAACACGTATCACCTCTGATTTGACTTGGTATCAATTATTATTGTAATAGGTTTGAACTTTTTTTTTTTTTTAAATTATTATTTATGGCCAGAGATATAGGTAAACTCTTGGATGATATAAGTTTATTCTTCTCGTAGAGAGGGAAATGACTGGAGGGGGAAGGGAGTGGGGAGGCAAGAATCGAAATCGGCTTCAGCTTTATTTTTTCATTCTATCACTGTTCCCCTTCTCGTTACACCGTCATTTATAAGGGAATCGAATAGGGTAGTTTAGTTTTAAATGTTATGGTACGATTTCTTCGATTTGCTTCAATGACGCACCCATTCATTGAATCCATTAAAATTTATAGCAAAAAGAATTTGATGGTTATAAGGTTAGTATTCCATATAAATAACAATATAATTTAGCATGATAATTCGGAAAATATTTGATAATACAATGACGGCGACGGCGACTACGTCGACGACAGCGACAACGACAACGACAGCGACAGCGACATCGACAACGACAACGACGATGACATTTCAAGCAAAAAGCAGC